GGTTGAGAAGAGAACGTTGGACCCACCCACAAGAGTGCTTCCTCATGGGTACGATGCCAGTAAGCAATGTGAGTTTCATTCTGGGGCACTCGGACACGACATCAAGGGTTGTCATGCTTTTAAGCACAATGTTCAATACCTGATTGACTCGCACGATATTGAATTCACGCCGAGCGGCGTAGCTGTACGTATTGCTCCTGTCTCAGTCGATGCTAAGATGACAGATGTTTCTAAAGCTGCAGTAGGTCAGAACCGTATCCTGGACTCCATGGTGTCAGAATCTCCATGCCCACAACTGTTGCTTATTCCTGGGGCAGATCTGAGAATGAAAATGGCTAAGCATAAGGAGGGCTTTAATCAGTACAGTGAAAGTCAAGAAACCGACGTTGCATTTGCTACGAAGGGTGTTCAAGAGTCAACCCGATACCAGCAACAACAGCAACGATCTCAACAGTGGAAAAGGCAGCAGTATCCCAATCAGCGAAAATCTCAAAATCAGAAGCCATTGAGGGTATTTAAGGTGCCTCCGATGCCGTATGCCGAACTTCTTCAGGTGTTGCTACGATTGCAGTTGGTTGAGAAGAGGAAGTTAGCTCCGCTGACAGGTACGCCTCCAGCAGGGTATGATATCAAGGAGCGCTGTGATTTCCATTCAGGAGCACAGGGGCACAACATTGAAGACTGTCTGGCCTTCAAGCACAAGGTGCAGGATCTACTTGATAGTGCAGCAATCAGCTTCGGGCAGGGAAGTCCCAAAATCATCTGAATGAGGAGAAGGGGCTCTATAATTTGGTTGAGTCGTTGAAAGCAGATCAGGACAACATCAAATTGTCTCTAATAACTGATTGCGAAGATAGCTGGTTCAGCAGCAGGACAGATGTGAAAGCCCAGTTCTCGGAAGCTAGCATTTTTCTTGTTTTATCTTGTCATGTCTTTACATTTGTAGTTTCTTTCCTGTTTAAAATGCAAATTTGTTTGTAAAACTTGTTGTTTTCATTCAATTGATGATAATGAAATAAATATGCATGTTTTGAGTAAGTCCATTCGTGTTCACTAATTGTTTTTACAAATGTCCAACGCTTGGTTAAGAGGAATCTGGGGAGGATGGCGAAAATGAACGACATGCAACGTCCGACATTGTATGCTTTTGAAATAAAACCTGTTGATGATGTACAGGCATTGTTTCAAATCCCTAAACACCGGAGTTATAAGGAAGATAATCCCTTGTCAACCCCTTTGAGCCTTGTAGTAGGAGTTCTTTCTGAAAACGAAAAACCCTCAATCTTAACCTGGGGCAGGGTAGGTGTTAGCTAATTTGACCGAGCGTCTAAATTGCAAAAGGAGTGTCCGTTCGAGGATCAATCACACCTCTAGAGATCGTACCTAAAAAAAAAAAAAAAAAAAAACCGCAATTGTTAAATCAAGAGTGAGACGGTCACATCATTCCCCAAAAGAGTCAGACAACCAGTGTCACACGGCTTGTTCGAAAGAAAAAAGAGAGAAAAAAGAATCAACAGCCCGCTAAGTCAAGAAAACTTCAAAACAAATGACTTAGGCAAAAATGAGGGCATCCCGCTGGACTTAAAAAAAATCAAAAGAAACTCAAAAGGAGTCAGTCCAGGCAAAAGTTAGGGATATGAAAAGAAAAAAGATGAAAGGATGACAAAAGAAAAATCCCCAAAGGAAATACGAGTCGTGTGACCTCAAGTGTCAAAGACGAAAGAGTGAGTGGCTGTCACTCCAACAATCATAGTTTCTCGAACTATCACTCCTATCTTTCAGCCTCTGAGAGGATTGCTAAGGTTGAATTAGTTGAACATAGGATCGGAGAACATCAAGGAGAGCGGGTGAGTCAAATTAAACTTTGAGCCTTTATCCTTTCCTTCCAAAACCGTGAACCTGACCACGTTACAACCTTCAAAAGTCCTAATTGAAGCAGGATGTTTCGAAAGCATACTTCGGTAAAGGTCGCGTCGATTCTGACTCCTAAAAGGGTTCTTCATACCATGTTGGTACCGAAGTTGATATTCTTGATAAATGTTTTGTGCATTATATGCCATAAATTGTTTTTCCTTTTCCCAGTTGTAATACCCTAATTTTTACCCCTAAGATCCCACATTTCATCGGCATATCATTCCACAAACAAGGTCATATTTTTAGCTTTCGCACCCTTATGGGTTTCTTACTTTCTTTATGTTTGTTTCTGTTTACTAACATCTAATCAAAATACCAAAAATATTTTTTTGTTTCTTCTTCTCTGTGTGTTTAGGGTTTTGCAAGGAGATTAATGGCAAAGAAGTTCATTCAAGTTTAAATCAGATGGACGTTTGACCTCATCTTGGTCAAACTATCAAGAGTTTGCTTCAACCATAAGTTACCCGTGGTGGTGGGCTATTTTCTCAGGAAATGTGATTTTTCAAGATCAAATTGTCTTGTGTTGAAATTCATTGATTTATCAAGCAATGTTCTATGAGAAGTTTGATCCAGTTTTAATCAGAGATTCAGAGCATTTTAATAAGGATTTAAGTTGATGGTTGATGCTTTGATACAAGTTATTCAGTAGTTCATTTTTGAATCTATCCATAATCAAGAGGTGTGTGGAAAATAGTCAAGTTGGTGTTACAACGAAATTGAGAGTTCATGCTACAAAGCCTTGCCATTAATAAAAATTTCATGCACTCATGCACATGTATATGTTGTGGAAAATGAATTTGTATGTTGAACAAAAGAATTGCATTGATCCATTACCTACATGCATACATGATTGTGGCAAGTGCTTTAGTTGTGGCATACAAGTATGTGGCAAATGCTTTAGTTAATGTACTAGCAGATGAAAACAGGCTCCATGCCAAAGCTGCTCTTGATGCTTTAAATGTGTTTGCCGAAACACTTGTATTTCTTGCTCGTTCAAAACATACTGCTTTCGTAATGTCCAGAGGGCCTGGCACACCTATGATTGTCTCTAGTCCATCAATGAATCCCGTGTATTCTCCTCCCCCTAGTGTGCGTGTTCCTGTGTTTGAGCAATTATTGCCCCGTCTTCTTCATTGTTGCTATGGACTTAAATGGCAAGCACAAATAGGCGGTGTCATGGGACTTGGTGCTTTGGTTGGAAAGGTTACTGTTGAGACCCTCTGCCTTTTTCAAGTAAGAATTGTGCGAGGTCTAACATATGTCCTTAAAAAGCTTCCAATTTATGCTAGCAAGGAGCAGGAAGAGACAAGTCAAGTGCTCACTCAGGTTCTTCGAGTAGTGAATAATGCCGATGAAGCAAACAGTGAGGCACGAAAAAAGAGCTTTCAAGGAGTAGTAGATTTTCTCGCTCAAGAGCTATTCAACCAGAGTGCCTCTATCATTGTGAGAAAGAATGTACAATCATGCTTGGCACTTTTAGCTAGCAGGACTGGTAGTGAGGTGTCCGAATTACTAGAGCAATTGTATCATCCATTCCTCCAGCCTCTCATAGTGCGGCCGCTTAAGTTGAAGACAGTTGATCAACAGGTTGGAACAGTTACAGCATTGAACTTTTGTCTAGCCTTGCGGCCACCTCTTCTCAAGTTGACTCCAGAGTTAGTTAACTTCCTCCAAGACGCATTACAAATAGCAGGGTCTGAGGACAATGCATGGGTTGCTAAGTTTATCAACCCCAAAGTTGTGACATCGTTGACTAAACTTCGAACAGCTTGCATTGAACTGCTATGCACAACAATGGCATGGGCTGATTTTAAGACTCCAAATCATTCTGACTTACGTGCAAAGATCATCTCAATGTTTTTTAAGTCTTTAACATGCCGGAATCAAGATATTGTTGCTGTTGCTAAGGAAGGCCTGCGGCAGGTTATAAATCAAAGGATGCCAGTGGTGCTCTTTGTCAAGTGCCAACATGGCTTTCGAATTTGACACCTGATGAATTTCTTGAAATAATTAGAAAGAGTGATGCTCCACTTCATGTGAAGTATTTTCAGACCATGGTTGAGTGTCTTTGTATGCTCGGAAAAGTGTCAGCTGCTGGTGCTATGATTTGCCAAAGATGTCGGCTCTTTACGAGTACCGTGCAATATTTTACCAGTTAATGCCCCTTTGCAAACAGATTCAAGTGATGCAAGACAAGAATGTTTAGGTGCTGCTGCTTGAAAGCTTTGCTGCCTTGTAGTTGTTTTGAGTTGTGTTGACGGTGGAATGTGCAGGAACACGTCGTTTTTTTTCATCATAAAATTGCTTTCTCCTCCAGCTTCTCCTAACTACTCTGGGACTGAAAACCACTTGATTAGCTATGCTCCATTTTTGAATGTCCTTCTGGTTGGAATTTCATCTGTAAACAGTGTTCAGATTTTCTCCCTACACGGTGCGGTTCCACTACTTGCTGCTGCATTAATGCCAATATGTGAGGCTTTTGGATCATGTGTTCCTAGTGAGTCATGGACTGCTGCAACTGGTGAAAAGCTCTCTTGCCATGCAGTGTTCTCTAGTGCATTTATTCTCCTGCTGAGATTATGGCAGTTTAATCATCCACCTGTTGAACATGTGATGGGAGGTGCAGCAACTCCAGCATTAGGATCACAGTTAGGTCCCGAGTTCCTTTTATTGGTTCGGAATAGTACGTTAGCATCCTTTGGGAAATCACCAAGAGATAGAATAAGAAGCAGAAGATTTTCAAAAATGATAAGTTTCTCTCCAGAAGCCTTCGGAGCTTGTAACCGTCTCAGATTTTGATATTCAAGAGAGTTCCGAAACCGATAGCCTTGTGCAGAAGCTGACAGTTCTGTTTAGTTATCTATAGTTCGGGCCTAAGCATTTCAATGAAAGTATCAACAGCTTCAATCAGTGTTCGAAGTTCAGAAATTTGAAACGGGATCGACTTCGACGCTCATTGAATTGATGCTGAAGCTCTTATTGTGAGGAAAGTATGGAGAGTACTGGGAGAAGGATCACGGTGAGTCCTCGACCTTGCTGCGGCCGGAGAGTGATTGCGAAGAAGACTGGTCGTGGTGGAACCGGTGATGGTTTTGTCAACAGTGTTAAGAAGCTTCAGAGACAAACGTGATCGGGCTTTTAGTATGACCAATGCTCAAGAGCGATTCAGGAATATTAGCTTGCAGGAAGAATATGATACACATGATCCCAAAGGTCCTTCGGCTTTGATATTGTCATTTTTGAGAAAAAGGTCGAAGATTATTGAGATTGTGGCAACACAAGATATTGTTTTTGCTCTTGCACAATCCGGTCTTTGTGCAGCATTTAGCCGAGAAACCAATCAAAGGATATGCTTTTTAAATGTCAGTCCAGATGAAGTTATAAGGAGTCTATTTTATAACAAAAATAATGACTCACTTATCACAGTTTCTGTCTATGCATCAGACAGTTACAGTTCCTTGAAATGCAGAAGCACAAGGATTGAATACATTAGGAGGGGTAAGCATGATTCTGGCTTTCCTCTTTTTGAATCCGAGTCTCTGAAGTGGCCAGGGTTTGTAGAGTTTGATGATGTAAATGGGAAGGTACTTACATACTCTGCTCTGGATAGTGTATACAAGGTATTTGACTTGAAAAACTATTCAATGTTGTACTCCATTTCTGATAAAAATGTCCAGGAGATTAAGATCAGTCCGGGGATCATGTTGTTGATTTTTGCTAAAGCAAGTAGCCATGTCCCACTTAAAATCCTTTCAATAGAAGATGGTACTGTTTTGAAATCGTTCAACCACCTCCTTTATCGGAATAAGAAGGTGGATTTTATCGAACAGTTCAACGAAAAGCTACTTGTCAAGCAAGAAAATGAAAACCTTCAAATTCTTGATGTGCGGAATTTTGAGCTGAGAGAAGTTAGCAGAAGTGAATTTATGACACCTTCTGCATTTATCTTTCTATATGAGAACCAACTATTCTTAACATTTCGAAACCGGACTGTGGCTGTGTGGAACTTCCGTGGAGAGTTTGTAACTTCTTTTGAGGACCATCTCTTGTGGCATCCTGACTGCAATACAAACAACATATACATAACCAGTGACCAGGATCTTATCATATCCTACTGCAAAGCTGATTCAGATGATTTGTTATCTGCAGATTCTATCAATGTCAACAACATTTTATCTGGCAAGTGTCTTACTAAAATAAGAGCAAGCAATAGTTCTTCAAAGGACGACAAGCGCAGTTGCTGTGACAGTTCTTCAAATGAAAATTGTAATTCAAAAAAAGTGAAAGCTGTCTGTACACCAGTATTAACTACCAGTAATATAATAGGTACCCCTGAGACTAGAAATGGCTTATTAGAAGTACAGAAGGCCTTTCGTGAAGCGGGATTGGATTTCCCAAAACAGGGTGTTGCTATTACACAAGAAAATTCTTTGTTGGATAATACTGCCAGAATTGAGGGATGGTTAGCTAGATTTCCCATGTTTGACTGGGTTGGAGGTAGAACATCAGAGATGTCTGCAGTCGGCTTGCTTCCAGCAGCTCTGCAGACCATTGATATTAGAGAAATGCTTCTTGGTGCATCACTTATGGACGAGGCAAATAGGAGTACTGTGATAAAGAATAATCCTGCAGCTTTGCTGGCTTTATGTTGGTATTGGGCTACAGATGGTGTAGGATCCAAGGATATGGTTATCCTTCCGTATAAGGACAGCCTGTTATTATTTAGTAGATACTTGCAGCAACTAGTCATGGAATCTCTGGGCAAGGAATATGACTTGGATGGTAATCGGGTTAATCAAGGACTTAGTGTCTATGGAAATAAAGGAAGCACAGATCAACATGCCTATATTCAGCAACTGAGGGACGGTGTACACAATTTCTTTGCAACATTCATTGAGGTGCTACGTGATAGACCACCTGGTCATGATTGGGAGCTTGAACCGGGTGTTACCTGTGGTGACTACCTGTTTGGTATGCTACAGGGAACAAGGTCAGCTTTGTATTCTAATGACCGTGAATCCATCACAGTCACCGTGCAAGAAGTGACACCTAGATCAGTTGGTGCTCTTGTTGCACTGTATGAACGAGCAGTTGGGATATATGCCTCACTTGTCAACATAAATGCTTATCACCAGCCTGGTGTGGAAGCTGGTAAAAAAGCAGCAGGAGAAGTTTTAGCACTTCAGAAGCGGGTGTTGGCAGTGCTAAATGAGGCAAGCTGCAAGGAGCCTGTTGAGCCATTGACAATTGAAGAAGTAGCTGAACATTGCCATGCTCCAGAAGATATTGAAGTAATTTACAAGATTATTGCTCATATGGCTGCCAACGACAGAGCACTAATTGCCGAAGGTAACTGTGGTTCTCCAAGGAGCGTCAAAGCTTTTCTTGGGGAGTGTAATGTTGATGATTTGTTTGCATGAGTTAAGAGCAATGAAATCCACATTCCGTAACGATATAGACGTGTTCAAATCCATCAAAAGAAAGGGAAGCTTCACTTGTATGGAACTACAGACATGCAGATGTTGAGTTTGGAAAACTTCAAGCAAGGGACATGCTACAACATCTTTGCACAGGTCCGATTTCAAATGCATCAGTTGAAGTTGTTCAAGGGAGTCGATCAGTTGAGGTCCGAGCTGCTGGTGTTACGAAGGGAGCAGCCATTGACCGCATCCTGGGGGAGATAGTTCACTGTAAATCCATGACAACACCTATTGATTATGTTCTGTGTATAGGACATTTTCTGGCAAAGCAGGATGAGGATATATACGACTTTTTTGAGCCAGAGCCTTCCTGTTTTGGTGCGAGTCTTCAAAGAAGCAAGTTAACAGAAGCAGCTAAGTTTGTTAATGAGAAGGTATCGCCTTTGAAGAACCCATCGGTTAAAAATGGATTCAAGTCAACAAATCAAAACAAGGGACAACGGCCTATCTCAAATTCACCGAAGAAAACAAGTAATCTTTTCAGCCGAGCAGCGCGGAAGCCAGCTCCGGAAAAGATCACTTGGAATGTCCTTGACCTCAAGAAAGAGAATTACTTCTCATGCGCTGTTGGTAGAACTCAAACAAATGCTCGCTTTACACTTCCATCATCTGATGAAGTTGCTGAATTTCTGAAGAAACTTGCGCATGCATAGTTTGATTCATCCGAGCAATGCTGCTTCTGATACTAAAGCAGAGGTCTCTTACATGCATCAAGCTGCTCAGCCTGTTGCTGGAAGTTTAGCTGAATCTGGCACTGCTACTGAAAGTGGGAATAGTGCAACTTACGGTGGAAACCAGCAGTTTGATCATTCATTTGGTTCTAGTATTTCTGGCAGCAAAGATTTACAAAATGCATCTAGCTCATTTGAACCCATTTCATTAAATTAACCAGGGTTGTTATTTGACTACTTCAGCCATCAATCAATATGAGCCATTAACCAAGCCATATTCACAAGCTGAAACAAAAAATAAATAGCATATGAGCCAGTTGAAAAATAATCCACGTCACCCAAGTGAGCTGAAAAAGTGAAAAGAAAGAATAACACGTGATGAGCTAAAAATGAGAAAGCAAAAACGACATGAAAAAATATCACAACAGGTCACACATAACTTGCATCCCAAAACGCAGAAAAAAATCTCACAAACGGCAAATCATTTTTCACTCACTCTCATCTATAAATACAATTCATCTCTCACTCATTTTCTCAAGCTTTTAAGCCAAAAAACCTCTGCTGATTTTCTTCCTCAAATTCCTCACTACCAGAAAAACCTTCGTTCACTTTTCTTCTCCTACTTCCTTCCACCAATTTCACTTCAATTGATACAAATTCAACCAGAGATTCGTTCAGAAGAAGAAGAGAATCAAGAAGAAGTTTGGATTGATTTCTTACCTGTGATTTTGAAGGTAGTTCAATGGATTTCGTTTTCTCGATTCGAGTTCGTCATTGCATATTTCCTTGAATTGTTTATACTGTTGTGAAGAGCTTTTGATTCTGATCACAACCGTGTTAGTTTCGCATCCCGTCGCTTTGATTTGAGCTTGAATCCATAGCCATGGTGAACGGTGTCGCGTGAAGTTTTGAAGAAGAAAGTTGTTCTGATGTTTTGGTTTTCTATTTCTCTTTTTCCTTGTCGTTTTTCTTTACTATTTTAAATATATTTTTCTTTATTCCTTTTATTTTTTTATTTCTTTTTTTTTTACTAGTTAATAGTTTAAATAGTTTTTTTAAAAGAGCTCTTAAAAAATTTATTTAAAAACTTTTGTTTTGAGCTAATTGTTGGTTGTTTTGGATTTTAAATTTTGATAAGATCTCATCAATCTCAATGGACTTTGGGTGTCGATTTTATCCACCAAAAGAGGTGATTGATATTGATGATGATTTAATCGATTTAAGATCCAAATTGTGGTTTCTTTTCATTTTAGTTCTTCTTCTTATTTTTCTTTTGATCGATGAAATCTATGGATCATAGATTGTTGATTATCAAGGTTGATTAATCTTCATTATTTCAAAACTAGGGACGAATAATCATTGAGATAATTCTCCTTACTTTGGAATAGTGATAGATTACCTTTGATTAATTAATTAAAAATCTTGATTATGATGAGATCACTACCTCTTTTCTTTTTGTGTGGCATGTTTTAGGAGAGTGATTTACATATCACTTCTCTAACATGTATTAACACTAACATTTTATTGACCGGCCTCAGATAGTCGTGGTTTCTACATAAACCCGATTACGATTGCTTAACATAGCGCTAAAGTGTCCCTTAATCGGAAAATGATCATTCGTGACTCAAACTTACGTTTAAAAGTCCAAGTATGATTAGTTGCTTGTCTTAACTCCAATACCTATGAAAATCATTGTTAGGAGGCTTTGATTCTATCAATCCTCTAATGAATTTTCATTAATCTTGGTCTAAGTGCAAGAATTAATCATCATTGATCATATGTTCTAACCACTAACCACTAATTCACTAACAATATCCTTGTTTAATTTTGTTTATATTCTCTTCTTACTCTTTATTTTTTACTTTTATGCTTCCATTTTATCATTTCATATCATATCTTTGTTTATGTTTATGTCATTTCTCTTTTGTCCACTTGGACCATACTTTGTTCAAAACATTAATAAAGGATAAAACATCTAAAAATTTTGGTGCTATTAATTTTGTGGTTATGCTCTTGGACTACTCTTAGACCTTGGACTTTATGGACCTTTGGACTTAGAATTAGGGCTCTCATTCCTATGCTTGGAGTATTGTGGATCTTAGCCTTTATTTGGCTCGCTCATTAGCTTATGCTTTAAATCGGATGGAATTCTTTTTTTCGCTTGCTATTGAGTGTGCTACAAGTCGGTTAGATCTTTCTTACCTCTAGCTCTTATTTTGGTTTTTAGGATAGTCACTTCATCTCCTCCCCTTCTTAAATTTTCAAAACTTTCTCCCTCTTTCAAAACCTTCTTGGTTTCAAACTTCAAAACCGCTTTCGCAATAAAACCTTGACTTTCGTCAAGTGATTTTTTAAGCTTTGTTTTTTTAATAAAAAGTCAATCAATGTTAATCATGCTTTGACCAATTTCAAAAGACATAAAAAATACAAAAACTCACAAACTCTTTTTGTGCCTTTATGCACTTTTTCACTTTAAAACTTTTTCATAAAGTTTAGACATGATTCATTTCTATAGTTGAGATGTAAATCTCCTATTCCCCATATTATTAAGACTTTGACATTTTCCACGTTGATGTTGAGTGATAGTCTTGTTGATAATCCAAGCAAATCCTCCATCTTTATGTGACGCAGATGTTGTCTTAATACTCGTGGGTGGATAGTCGCAGTTTTCTCCTTGAAATGACGACTTGTCTGAACATCTAAAATCAATCAAAACCAACAAAATTTTGTCATTTGTACCACGAACTACGGGGTTTTGATTCCATATTGCACTTTATGGGTACGTAGGCATGAGACGATAAGTCTCTCCAAACACAAAAAAATCTAAAAAAATATTCTCTTCTCATCTCCCCAATCTCTTTTCAAACAAACCACTTTCAAACCAAAAAGCGTAAATATTTAAAAGGGCTCCTATAGAGTACTATAGACGTTTTGGGTGCTAACACCTTCCCATTGCATAACCAACCCCCTTACCCCGATCTCTGCCTCGTGTTCTTATTTTAGAACTCTTTGGTTTTGTTCGCTCTTTTTCCTTTCCTTTATTTGGATAAAATAAAAGTGCGGTGGCGACTCTTGTTTTCTTTGAGTTAAGTTAGTCAATAACTTATACTCACGATTTTTACCGCTACACCAGTGAACAGATTGGATGTCAAAGCTGTCATATGTGTTGCATTAATACATCTTTTACGCAGAACAACTTGTTTTACTTGCGAGTAAGCGCTTGACAGCAGAAAAGCTTCCTACGGTGGAAAGTATGGTCAGGGTAGAATACAGAACGCCCGAATGTTCCGAGAGCAGGGGCAAGCTATTATCGTGATCCCCAATCAGGTCAGCCTTTCGAAGTCAGCTATCCGGGGGCAATCAGGTTGAGATTCGGCAAATATCTAGTAGTCAGGGGCACTACTCTGAATCAGCTAATCAGGGGCAAGGTCATTGCAGTCAGGGGCAGGCCATCTTGAGCGCGCAAAGGTTATTCGAGAAGCATTTGAGGTGAAGTATCTTTCTGAAGTCCAGAACGTTGGGGCATGTCATATCAGACCATCAGGGCTCAGGTTTTCAGATTCCCTTTCAAGGACTATTCCCACGGAGATCCCGTAGGCTGGGGCATATCAGAAGCGAAAGGATTGGTCTTCTCCGTACCAGCAGGGTCATTCAGAGTTATTCGAGCAGATTTAGTCGATTTTCGAGAGCAAGACGAATGCGGGAAGTCGTGTCACTATCCCTTGACTCTTCCACTAAAAGGCTGCGTATTCAGACAGAGTGTTTTCCAGCGTCAGTTGTACCTGACCCATCACAGATAGCCTAAGAATTCAAATCCGTGTTGGCGATCACTGTGAGGCCCATCCGTGTTGGCGCATCAGTTTCCAAATCCAGTTTTCGGCAATACGCGGGAAGACTCCGTCTATTTTCTCCAGCAAAGCCCAATTCTTCATTGGTATGGGTAAGCTATCCCCAGGGAAGTCCAATCACACTTGGCGCATCCGCTATCTCACAGCAGAGTTATATTCCCCAGCAGGGTATTACTTCGTCGAGGTGTTCGGTTAAGTTCCCAATATCCCCAGCGGAGTTGATTTCACTCTCCCAGCATTTATTTTGCTGGGATAATCCTGTGATATCCGGTTTATCCCCAGCGGAGTTGGCTTCGTCTTCAGCATTTATGTTGCTGAAGTGGTTTTCTGTACCCAGCTTTCTCCGGCAGCTCGAGCCTGCATTAGCATATTGCATGCATTATCATATTTGCATCATACTTGCATGTCACTTTCAAAATGC